GCGACAGCTGTTCTCCATAGCCAGCTGGTGCATAAGTGCAGTTTAGAAACTGGTCCCCTTGGTGACAATGAGGTGCGACTGATCATGCGACCTCAGACCCAGGGGACCTGGAGTAACACAAACAGGAGGCTGAGGGCTGAGTTTTCAGAGTGCATAAGCCCATGGGTCTGTTTTGTTTCCCTTCCCTTTTCCTCGTATCCTCCGCCCGCATTTCCCCTGCTCCTCACGAGGGTCTAGAGGCTGCAGCTCACAAAGGGGTGCCTCAGCAGGTCCTCCGCTGTGGGCCGCCGCTTCTCCTCCACAAAGATCTGCTTGAGGAAGTTACGGCAGCAGTCCGAGACGCCGTCTGGGAGCTGCGGCTTGGTCGGCTGGGTGGCAATTTTGAAAATGGCTGCCATGGCTTCAAATTCTGCCCAGGGTGGCTTCTCTGTTAGCATCTCCACCACAGTGCAGCCCACGCTCCTGCAATGAAGAACAGGAAGAGCGAGAGGGTTAGAGAAGCAAGAGGGTTCATCCAGCCACCATGCTGCCTCATCCCCGTCCCCCAGGCATCTGACCCGAAATTATTCATTATAATCATAGAAAATGAGGGCTGGAAGGGACCTCAGGAGGTCACATCCAGTCCAACCCCCTGCTCCAAGCAGGACCATCCCCAACTAGAGCATCCCAGCCAAGGCTTTGTCTAGCCGGGTTTTGAAAACCCCCAAGGATGGAGCTTCCACCACCTCTCTGGGTAACCTGTCCCAGTGTTTTACTACCGTCCTAGTGAGAAAGTTCTTCCTAATATCTAACCTAAACTTCCCTTGCTGCAACTTGAACCCACTGCTCCTTGTTCTGTTAGAAGTGAAACTCCCTGAACTCAAAGCTTTAAGAAGCCCCCACTGATCATTCTGCAAGTGAACATCCTGTGCATGGGTCAGCAAGTCTTTCTGAAGCCCTAAATTAAAGCAGACAATGGGAACAAAGCATACTCTGCAATTCAGCAGATTCACACACACACAGATGCACACCGTTGCCAATGTGTGCCGCACATTTTCTGCTTTCATTTATAACACAAAAGGTCACTAAGCCTCTCCAGCTGTGCAGGTATACTGCCAAGGCACCATCAGTGCTAACAGATTCAGCGTCACCTGCGTGAGGCTTCAGGCTGCCAGAAACAATCCTGCAAGAGGCCCGACTTGTTTCTTGATTCTAACAAACTGGTAGCTCCAGAGCTGACAGATAACAGTGTAGGGCACAATAAATATTCGGAGGTGGTGAGGCAAAATGCAAAATAAATGCAACTTAACTTTAAAAGCTTCTGTAGCAATGTATTAATTTAATTCAGCAAACCCTCCTGTTTTTACGGAGTTCCCACCAGAGGGCTGAAAACCTTGTTGTTGTCAGAAACGTTCAGGGTCCATTATCACAGCATCCCAGTGCCTTTCAGCTTTCATTGTACTGGTATGTAGCCACACAACAGTGCTATGAGGCAGGGATGCCTCTATTATTTCCACTTGTAGATGAAGAATGGAAGCATAGAGACGCCGATTTTTTAAAGGTATTTAAGCTCTGCTGCTCCCCACAATAAGGCTCAAGTGACTTAGGTGGCTAGATCCTACTTTCAGAAGTGACTTGAGAGGTGAAATTTCACGGAAAGTCAATGCTGAGCAGAAAACTTTGGCCCAGTTTCAAACTGCTTCTGTGCAGAGAGGGACCTATTTCAAAAGCACCTAGGTGGAGTCAGAGGGAGTTGGGCACTGACCCACGTCTTCTGGGCTCTAAAAACCTTTAAAAAATCTGACAATATCCTAACCAGTGAATCAGGAACCTGAGTTAGCTTAGGCCACTAAATGTAATCCTACTGCACCCTGCTCGTGTGTTTGAAATACAGAGGGTGGATACATTCCCCCCCCGCTCCCCTTCTTGCTGCTGTTTGTGACTTGATCCTAAGGCTGACATGATGTGCGTTACAAAAAGAGACATTTTTCTTTCAGGGACTGAAGGAAGGAATAGGATCACACTCACACCCTCCCAGGCAGAAGAGGCTCTGGCCTTAAATGATTTGCCTGAGGTGACCCAGACTCTGTGGCAGAGCAGAAAGTTTAATCTGAGTGAGTCCTTTCACCACTAGCCCAGCTTGGAGCACAGAGATCCAACTTCGTGCAGCCCTCCCCCAGGCTTAAGCAGTGCAAGGGCATTTGTGCTGGTCTGCAGAGAGCTGAATTCCCAGCAACTAGCAAGATCCAGGGCAGAAATGCAGGGGTGGGGAAATGTCCTGAAAGCTTCCCAGCACTTGGTGAGAAGTTTTGGCACCCGCATGGATTCTCTAGCCTCATTAAGCCAGCTTGGCAACCTTGACTTGTAATCACCTTTAACAAGAGCTAGCTATTCCCTCCTATCAGCTGGAGCAAGTGACAGGAGGGTAGCCTGCCAAAGGCTCCTCTGGCCTTCTCCCCACCAGTGTGAAGCAGCTCGAGTAACTCATTCCCATTGACCCGGCTTATTTGGAAAGGCAAGGGAAGAGGTGTTGTCTGCACACAGCGATGCTGAAGTTTGTTGGCACCATTACTGCAGCCATTCCAGCTGGTTAGGCTCCAGGCCCGATCCTGCAAACCTCAGAGGCCGATGAGATTGCAGGAGTGAGGGAGGGGAGCACACATTTACCAGGGTCAATGTGCAAATATCCAAAGCCAGAATTAGAGAGTCCCCATAGGTCCCCTGGAGCTGAGGAAGGTCATGGATACTTAAAAGAGCTTCCTGTTAACAGTCAACCCTGAGGAAACTAAAATTAGTGTCCACCAGGGTCCTGCAAAGTCACTTGTGACAAAAAGCAAGTCCACACTGGAGCCACAAACAGATCTTGCTCAAGGTCAAGACCATCCAAAATGATTTTGGGCACTTCCATTTGGGGGTATTTTGCCTGAAACACCCTGATGGAGCCGAAGGGAGGGCAGGTTGACACCTTAGACGCTGTCTAGTTCAGAGGCATGAGGTTTTGTAGACCACAATCTACTCAGTCAGATGCTAGAAATCTCTAAAATGCCACCCTGCACTACCTTCTGTCTGACTTCAGGCCAACACGGCAACTTACCTCTGTGCTCAAAGTGGCTTGAATTTCACAAGTGCTGAGCGCGCATTCTTGGAAAACCAGCCTCCTTTTTCATGTCCCAAGCCAGGTATCCAAAGACTGGTGCATCCAAAATCATTAATCTCTCCAGCCCTAACTTTCAGTTGTAACATTGAGGCACTAGAGCATGCGGTCTTTAAATGCTAACTTGACCTGCTGTTCTTGGAAAATTAACCACTACGCTTTTCCAAAATGGATGGCTACAATAGAAAACCATCATGTTAACCCACTTCAGTGGACAGGCCCACTTCATTTCTTACCACACGTCTGCTTTCCTCCCATAGCCTTCTCCACTGATCACCTCTGGGCTCATCCAGTAAGGAGTTCCTGTGACGGATTTGATTCCTGTTCCAGACATGCAGATGGTCTGAATGCGTTTGCTGGCCCCAAAGTCTCCGAGTTTAACATTCCCAGCAGAATTTCTCAAGATGTTGGCACCTACAGGTCAGGCACAAAAAAACAATAGAGAGAACTGCAGGCCAGAGCACACCGAGGAAAAGCAAGAAACACTCAGGCCAATGACCGGTAGCTCCACAGAGTTGGAAAGGCAATATCTGGTTACATTAATGCACTATGTGAGAGTCCTCTCTCTACCAGCTCCTTTTGAAAATCCCACTCAATGAGCATTGCAATTAAGGCAACCTCATAGCACTAACCCACTGCATGGAGAAGGAAGAGTTTTGGAAAAGTTGGGGCCAGCAACGGTTCCTCACTTACAATACCACAGGTCTTGAGTGCCAAGCGCCTCAGGCCTGATTTTGAGAAGTGCAGAGCTCGCGTGCTGGCAACAGGATCTCTGCAAGTCAAGCCCAAAGCATCTCCCCATGGGAACTGCAGCCAGAGGCCACCAGGAAAATTCAGGCTAACATAACACGTTTGAAAATGCCCAGCGAGCCTAAGGTAGAACCAGGGCAAAAACCCAGGAGTTGTAGCTCCCAGGGCTGCACCCTGACCACACAGCGTACAAGTCCCCCCAACATATCAGAAGACCTTAGATAAGTGAGAGGTTTCCCATTATTAGCTCCTTACCTTTAATATCCCTATGTACAATCATATTGCTATGCAAGTAGGAAACTCCCTGCAGAATCTGCCGTGTGTATTTCCGGGTGACGTTTTCGGTCAGGGCACCATATGCTTTTAACTGGTCCTTTATGGAACCCTGTTGCAAATAAGAAAATCATTGGGGTTTGGTGAGCCTGGCCCATTGCACTGCACTGCCTTTTACATTTGTGCGATCTCTATTTTTCTGCTTTAAAGAAGGCTCTGTGGGATGTCATGTGATGATGCCAAAATGAAACGCATTAAGTGTCATGGACATACGTAACAGATCCAGGGTTTGGTCCCACAGGACAATACTCCTCTGGGCAGAAGAGAAAGGTGTAAAGAGCTGGTCTGTGATAGAAGAACTGCCCATAGTTTAAGCCATGGGTGGCCAATCTGTAGCATGAATACCACAAGTGGCACAGGCATCCTCTGCATGGCACGTAGCAATCAGGGAGGGAGCTGCGAACACAGTGCGCATGGGACAGGGAGCAGAAAGAAGAGCAGCAGTTTGGGGTGGGTAAGAGAATAGGGGTGGCACTTGGGGTGGGCATGGGGCTTAACCTATAGCACGCCTGCCAAATACGTTGGCCCCCACTGGCCTAGGTTAACACAGCTTAGCTCTTTACCCCCCTCTTGTGACCACTGTACATCACCAGCCCAGGCATCTGAGGGAATGAATCTGAAGGGTACAAGCCCGAACTGCTCACGCCAAAGGACTACGTCTGTTAGATCAGAGGCAACGATGCCTCCAGCACTCACAGCCCCATCTAGGAAATCAGTCCGACAATGCCACAGGTGGCTCTGCAGGGGTTGGGGCAAGGAGCTCCGGATTGAAAAGCATTCATTTTGAGCGCTTGAGGCAAGGACCTTTTAGCTCAAGCGGCAAAGGTTCCCTACTTACAGTCCCCTCCACCAACACTCCTCGTGCCTTACACCTCCTAAGCTTGCTTTGCTCCAGGTCTGATTTTGTTCCTTCCCTCTTCCGAAGCCAGAGGTGCTCTTCTGGGAAAAACCCACCCCTCCTTCTCACTGCAGCTGGCATTGCCCGGGGTTCTCCATCATTATTCCCTTGTTAGGTATCTGTCCCCCAGGCTTTTTGGCCTTCTGGCGACCCCCGTCTTCCCTCTGTGGGATGGGGCACAGGTATTAGCACCATACCCAGGTGAGCCCACTTAAGAGCCTCCTCTGCTCCTGGAGTCAAACTGGCCAGTCCCTTTCACTAGCAGGACATTTAAGTGGGAAGGGAAAGAACAGGAGCTTCAGTATTTATACAGGTTAATGATAAACGTGATGAGCGACTGAGGCTGGTGAGAGGCCAGTTCGGTGCAGAAGGCTCCTTAGTAGACTGGCCTCTTCACAGCTCTTCCCATGCAAGCTGTGTTAACTCAGAACACAACCTTGGCTCGACAAAGCACTTCAATGCTGCTGCCCTATAGTTGGGGATCCAGGTCTCATCCACCAACCTCAAGGGGAGAGGGAGGCAGGGGAAGCAGAGCCCTGCACGATGGCATGAAGCAAGCTGCTGTTGCAGAATGAAAGTCAATCTTTATTTAGTCAGAGCCCTGGTTTATCACTAGAAAAACAAACAGGCCACTCTGTGCAGCTCTGGAAAAGCCACAGCATCAATGCTGGCTTCCTGACTGGGAACAGACATCAGTGTGTGACAGAGCGAGTGGAAAGAGAGTCGATAATGCTGCCAGGGCTTATTCTTCTGGTTCTGCGTCAGAGCCTGTAACTAGAGCTGCCAGAAAGGGGACCGTGGTTAGAAAGAGCATTGTACTCAGGGGCTTGCAGATGTGCAGTTTGTGGAAGTCTATTTTTCACACAGGGATCTTCTGAGTGGGAGTTTTTAGTCCTAACAGTGACTTGTGACCAGATCTACTGGTTCCTTCTGACTCTGCAGTCTATGAATAGGTGAGTGCTTGCAGCCTCAGAGGGCAAATACAGGGGTGGTGGGTAAGAAACGGATGGATCAGGGTAAAAGGGGCGGATCACCAGGTAATGCAAACGGAGCTACACCGGTTCATACAAGCTGCGGTCCTGGCCAGTGACCTCTAAGGGCCTTGTTACACGCTGCCAGATGCTGCTCAGCTTAGAGCTAGCTTGGAGCTCGGAGCAGTTACACCTTCAGACTAGAAACCTTCTCTGACCGTGTCCCACCCACACAGCTGTGACTTGCTACTAGCGGCCTGGTGAGCAGGGAGGTCTTGTCCAGCCCTACATCTCCATGATTTCTAGGTAGGGAAGATGGAGATGGCAGGGTCTTTCAAGGGCAAGGCTGGTGAGGTCACTGCCCCACGTGCTCACGGCTTGCTGTTACACATGTCCTGGTGCATCCATCAGCCTGTTCCCGGTGCCCGGGCAACTTCAGCTTGAGGTGGGGCTCAGCTGCAACCCTGCCTTCCCTCTCCTATATACTCCCCCTCAGCTCTGACCCCCACATCCACCCTGCCCCCACTTCCCTCGGTGCCCCTGGGCCCGGTGGGGGCAGCTCAGCAGCAGGAGAGTAGACAGACACCCCGGGAGGCCCAGGTAGCAGCCCCAGGCAGTGGCAGAGCCCTGCACCCACAACCTGGATGCCCCTACAGCTGCCCGGCTCTGAAGCAGCAGGTTCCCTGGCAGCAGGCTGCCCCCCACCCCACAGCAGGGCTTGGCAGGGAGGGAGAAGCACAGGGTCCAGCAGTGGCCACCTGCTCAGAGGCTCAGTGCTGGTGGGGAAAGGTGCCTGAGCCACCGTTCCTGGATGGGGGTGTGTGCTGGAAGCTGGAGGAAATAGAAAAGCTGCAGCTCCACTTAGCAGCCGGGGGTGTGAGAGCCCACAGGACACGAGGGTTGGGGAGAGACCACTGCATCCTGGGATACTGGAGGACTTCAATTTGAGTGGCACATCTGTGGGGAGTGGCTGCGCCTTAACTGAACAGGAGCTGGGTTGTGTGGATCAGAGATAATCATGCCCTGGAGTGGCGTAACTTTGAACTGCATAAAGAATGTTTTAAGCCACTTAAAGGCATTAATGTGTGGACAATCTAGGGGTTAAGAGCTCCAAAAGCTGCCCAAAATTAACGTGTAACAAGGCCTAAGGTGACGCCACTTACATTCTGAAGAACTGAGAAAAAGAGCTGGAGTTATATCTCCTTAGTTTCCTCCACATTAAAGCATCTTAATCCTACGCTGTCCCTGGAGATGTGTCATCATACACAAACAGAGTCACAACCAGGGGATAGCCCAATAAAGCAACATTGTCGTGAGATGAGGTGGTTTCAGAGAGCAGAGCTGTTCTGGTTATCAGCAATGCGTTTCCATGCATGCATCAAAATATAGAAATTAGCAATGCAGCCGAGAGCTGAGATTTTGACAGTGGATCTTTCCCAGAGTGCTCGGTAATCATAACGACAGATGGACCTGAACGCCTCGAATCGGAAGCCCGTTCTGAATCCAATCACACACTAACCAGGTGCTCAGGCAGGGGTCTGAAAGATCCAAATCAGGGTGCGACTGCTCCAAAGTGCAAAGAAATTTGAAATTATGATTTGATGGCGAACCAGAGGGGTCAGGCTGTGAAGTCTGACTTGAATCCAACAGTTTGGGGGCAACTGGATCCTCAATTAATTTTGGCCCTTTACAGATATATGGGTCAAGCAGTGGGACTTGGCTCTAACTCCAAACCTCTCTAGTTCAGGATGATCTATGTCTACACTTAGCCATGTGGGCTGGCCATGGCCGCACTTACCCCTGGCATGTATTCCACGAAGATGGACAATTTCCTTTCTTCTGTGTCACGCAAACAACCGTAATACTGGACTATTCTCTCGTGGCGGAGGGTCTTTAACAGCTGGATCTCACACTCCAAGGCATTCACCTCCTGTAGTGGAACAAACATGCAGTGCAGTGAAAAGAACGGCTTACAATAAGCCTCCTTCCTGCCAGTGGCTCTCTAGCTCATCTTCCAGGACTTGTGAAGCACTGACTGTGTCCACAGAGCCACATGGTGACACAGAGAGGATAAACTTGTTGTGCCAAGCTCAATCACAGCACACTGCTTCACCTGGGCTGCGTCCTGAACTGAGAGCAGTGCAGCCACCTCTGAGCAATGTATATTGGTCCACCCTCTGCAGCCACACCACTGCTGTCCTAGGTTTGGGGGCATGGGGAACAGCACAGAATAGCTGAGCATGCCAGCGTCTAACACAAGAAATCTGTGGTACAAAGCCCAGATGTGAAAATGAGTACCGCCCGTAGGAGATGATGGCCTACAAGACAGAGAGGGATGCATTGGGAAAATGTCACAGCAGGGAGTTGTGTTGAAATGTTCCCAGAGAAAAAAAAGAGGAAGAGAGAGGGAGTTAGAGGGATTTACTAGTTACATGGTTTCTTCTGCACAAGTCTGGGCTATCAGGAGAGAGAGAAATGAGGGGAACACCAGTTGCATGGGCTGCCTAGAGGCAGGAGTGGGAAGGAGATGGATGGATGGAGCATGACAGCTGGAAAAAGGGAAGAGCTGAAGGGGCAGGACAGAATGGGAGATAGCAGGTCTGAAGCATAGGCTGGGCCAGTAACATTCAGGGGCCTGGAAGGGATGAAGTATCTAATACTGCCCCCCACGATGCCACAAAACCTGGCTGTGATTCCCCCAGAAACCCTCCCTGATGCACTCAAGAAGGCTCAATCCAGCTTCATTCACCCACCTTGCTCGTCTCTTGACTGTCCGGATCAAATGGCACCTGCTTCACCGACAGCTCCCTGCCTGTGTCGGCATCGTAGCAGAGGTAAACCTCCCCGAAGGCACCCCTGCCAAGGAGCTTCCCCAGTCTCCAGTTCACAGGAGCCTGCAGGGCTACAGAAAGGGCAGGGAGAGCTGAATAAGGATGTAGCAGAGATGACCACCTACAGGCTCATCTGACCCTGCCAAAGGTAGCTCCTCTGTGTGCTGTGTAATGAATGAGGCACTTCCAGAAAGAGTGACCCCGGAGCCCTGCTCTTCCCAGGTGTCAGTGGAGTTACCACATTTTTTTCACATACAACACACACTTTTCCCCCAAAAAAGTAGCTGCTGGAAACTGGAATGTGCATTATATGCAAGGAAATACAACAATACCAGTTTGTGCCACTTACCAGGCCAAAGCAAAAGCAAAGCCTGCACATGATCCACAGGGAACAGAACAGAGCAAAGTCCACTCCCTACCCGTTACTCAGCTACTTACTACAAGGAAAGAGCTTTTCTTTGTTTTGCCTTTCAAAAATAAGATATGTAATAAGACATAAAAATAAAATATCTTATTCCAGGATGCACTGTATGTGAGGAAATACGGTATTCCCAATCTGTCCAGATGAAAGGGAAAGCAGAAGCAACGAGACGACGTGTATACAGGGTTTCTCCCCTGGGGCACAGTTCAGAGGGGTTTGCGATGAAGAGTGGTGTCTCCCCATTCAGACTTGTGAAAGGCAGCCAATGCTGGATTGGAAACCAAGTGCTGGTGAACAGCACCCAGCACTACCATGCCACTGATGGGAGTAGGGAGTGGGGAATAATTTGTCCCTTTGGGACTGCTGGGGGCATATAGCTTTCCAAGATGGAATTAGATCTACAACTATAGCATGACCATGAGATGTCAGGACCTTAGATCAGTGCCTCTGGAGTGCCATGCTGCCAGGCTGGTTTATTTTCAGTTCAGGTCTGAGTGGGAAGCGGATTGAAATACTCTTCCCCCACCTTTCCCCCTGCATCTGGACTCTCCTCAGAGGTTTCCCCATCTGCTGACCCTACCCAATACAATGTCACAGTCAGGCCATGGCTTTGACCACCAGCTGCTGAAGTTCACTCACAGTTCCTGGACTTCGTGGGGGACGTGTTGAAGACCTGCAAACCCTTTTCACAGTTGTTCCAGCGCTTGGTCCTGTGCTCCTCGTACTGTAAGGTGCTCAGCTTGCTGTCCCCATTAAAGCTCTTTGTCCTGCTGGAGGGGACAAGCTGGAACAGGGTCTCCTGGGGGACGTAGCTCCTTGGGAAAGTCCTTCGGCCTGTGTGAGGAAAACAGGAGAGCTGAGGATGGGACACACGACTGGTGGTGTCCAGCTCTTATCCCTTGTCCCCAGGTCTGACCTAAGTCTATGTTCAAAGTATCCCCAGTTTAAACTGGTTGTAGAAAAGGCTAGTTAAGCACATGCCAAACCCTGCACAGATGTGTGTAGTCTTATTGAACCTCGGCTGAAGGCAGTGAGGAATCAGTTTAGGACCAGTCAATGTAAACCAGGATTAAACCAGATTCAGAACATCTCCACAGGGTTTGCACCAGTCAGCTGAACTGGATTACAAAATGTAATGCAGTGTAGAAGACGTGCAAGGATTTAGGCTGTGAAATCTTTGCAGCAGGATCTGTCTTTTCATGATGGGAGGACCCTGACTGCCAACTGCAGTCTCTATCACCACAATAGAAACATCACCACCACCACCCAAAGGCAATAATGTTTGCTTCAAGAGAAAAGACAAGCTGCCTAGCTAGCTCATTAAGTTGGAGAAGAGTCATAGTAATACATCATTCATACTCTTTTCATCAGTGTATCTGAAAGCACTTTCCCAAGACAGCTGGCATTATTAAGGCCCATTTTACAGACAAGGAAACCAAGGGTGCCTATACAGGAGCAACGAGGCTTCTCCGATGCGCTGGAATTCCAGTGCGTCGGACCAGACTCGATTAAACGAGTCTGCCGAAGCAATTATCGCGCTTCAGCATCCCCCTGCATCACGTGCATCAGCACCCAAAGCTTAAAAATGGTGGCAGGGGGCCATCATCAAACAAGCTTTAGTTCAAACGCCCCCCACACCATTTTTAAGCGCAGGGACAATGATACACAAGATGTGGCAGCGCTTTAATTAGAGCGGGTCTCGGAGCCACTCTAAAGCGCTGCCTCCCCGCTCCCAGAGCACGTGTAAAAGTGCCTCAAGGCATGGGCAGTTAAGTGACTTGCCCAAGGTCCTCGTGCTGGCAGGCAGCAGAGCTGGAAATAGCTCTAGGCCTCTAAATCCAAAATGACTGCTGTGACCCTGCCAGACCAGACATTTCTTGCTGTCCTCAGGGTGAGCCTTGTGTAGCTCCAAGAGGTGAATTTCATGACAGCATAACCATCATCCCAGCTAGAGAAACGAAACAAGGCAGCGCAAAGAGATCAGTGTGGGTGCGCCCACTGATTATACCATCTTGGTGGCATGAAATGATGGGGAGCTGATGGGAAGCACTGAGGCACATGGAGTCCTTCATAAACACCAGATTCCAGCCAGCACCCACGACGTTCCTTCGGCCTTCACTCAAAATTAATCCCACAGAAAACTGAAAATGGAGAAAACCCTGGGCCTTGCCCTCCACCCCAAAATCAGGCAACCGCCTACCCGGTGACTCAGCAAGCGGTAATTCAAGCCACAAGCTCTGGGAATGCTCCTTGGGCTGCTTGTTCCAGACAGAACTTAATTGCAGAATTAATTGTTTCCTTCCAAATGAAACAGCCTGATGAGCTGCCTGGGTGAGTCTAAGCCCAATGCAAGCTACAAGGAAGCCGAATGAAGAGGGAAAACTTTAGCTCAGCAGAGCATTTACCACTACTAAAAGTCCTGGCATTACAGGGGTGGAAATACAAAAATGCCCGGCTGATGAGTGAAGCAGAGCCGTGGCAAGCCTGGCCGCTGTGGAATGATCTGTGGTCAGTGATGGAAGTGGCTGGGGTAAATCCTCATGGATAGAGGTTTCCTGGTTGCATCTAAATCAGTTTATTAACTATCTAGGTTCGCTTTGAGCTCCCTTCTTTCTATCCTCAGTCTCCAACACCAAAACCTCTTTCCTTTTCCTTTTGTATTTATTTTTTTTACACATCTCACCTCTTGCATGTCTCCTATTTCTACCCCTGGCCTATTATTCCTCCTTTCAATAGGTCTGTGCTATTCTGACAAGAAAGAACAAAACCTAAACTTAACTGAACTTTGACAACTTGATGCTGCTGGTCTGTACGATCCGCCACAGGAATCGCTGACCTCTAGATCAGCCATTCATCACTATAACAATTCGAAATTCAAGTCCAGTTGCAAAGGGTTAACATTATGGCCCGTCTGTGTGTATTTGTTTTGTTAAACTTAAGGAAGGGGTTAAATCAGGGCAAGAAGGATTTTTTATCAAAATATTTCTTAAATGGGATTTCGAAAGGCGCCGGTGATGATGAGGATCAGCTGGACTGTGGTAGCACCAATGATCTCAGCCCAGCATGCTAAGCGCTGCCTGCCACTTGTTAAATGCTGTGTCTTGGGAAAGGGGTGAGGCAACAGGATAATCTCTGAACCACAGTACTCCTCAGCTGAATCCAGAAAAGCAGAAAATCCTGAATTCACATGACATGCCGGCCAGCCAAGTTCCTACTGCTCTGTGCAGGGAACAGACATACACCCCATCAAAAATAGCTGAATGAGGGACAGGAGAAGGTCACCAGTAGATAAATGGGAGACCTAGCAACATGGCAAGGGGTAGAAACAGCCATTGAGAGGGTGAAAAAGCTGAACAAGATGGAGGGCATGAGCCTAGTAGATGCTCGGCACTTTGCAAGATCAGGCCCACGCTGCACCTTCATGTCTCTCTGCGGTGGCCCTGACTGGGACCTGTCCATGACTAACTTCTCCCTAAAACAGGGTCTCACAGCACTGGACAAAAATATACTGGCAAAATCTGTATTTGCAGAGCCCGCGTTTTGGTTGAGGCAGACACCCAGGGTGCTACATTAGAAGAGGAGGGTCCAGCCAGAGCTGGCTCTGCGGTGGAAACTAAGATAGGCTTGTGGCCACTGTGATAAAGCTCAGCAACTATCAAAAGGACTCAGTGAACTGTGAGGAAGGAGGGCCTTGCACTGGCCTGGGGACTCAGGAAACCTGGGCTTCCTTCCAGCTTAGAAATTGAAACTGTAGTCAGATCACTTCATCTCTATCTCTGGTCCCCATTTCTAAAACAGAAGTAGTTTTGCTCTTAAGGATTGTCCCCATTCCACATAGGGAAAACAGTCTCAAAACTGATACCATTAAAGTGCTAAAGAATCAAAGGTAAAGGCACACGTATGGC